ACCGCTACAACACAGATTCAGAGTGGAATTAATACAACAGCAATCACACATGAAAGCAAACTGCATGCAGTGAGGCCGGCTAAACCATGCCAGTTTTCTATATCATCTGTGTCATGTAATCAACAGCTGAATAACACTGTGGTTTTTCCCAGTTAATTTCCTTTCTATATAATAAAATCCCTTGGACTTACATAACAAATAAAAAAAAATGAAGTAAAACAAAGTAACTACTATTCCATTCATATAAATTGTAGTATTTAACTTCTCAAAAGTCTTTCCTACTGGTCGTTCTTGATTCCTTGAATTTCCAGTCAGTGAATTATCAACTAATTTATCACCTCACAGAGTAGGGATTATCTCCTTATCCCTGAAAATGAATGTTGCTGAGCTAGTCTTACTAACCCAAGTCTGTTTTTCCTACTCGTGTTTGCAGATAAGCCATGACTACAAGAAGTTAAAGTTAAAAATTTAAAATCAACCTGTAAAGACTTTTCAGAACTAGACATTTGGAAAAAACCTGGTGTCCAGCTTACAATTCATATTCTGTATAACTCTCACATTTACACCCAAACCCAGTTTCTCACAGTGAGTTCTGGGAAGCCAGCTTGATTTTGATCAAGCTACTCCTAGAAGGTGCAAGTTCCCAGTGAATCATACCCTGGAATATGGTTCCCAGCCATACAATCTGTCTGTGTTCCCTTTTAATTGACAGGTTATCTGTACCACATTTTAATACTATCAGCAATAAACTCTCCTACTTTGTTAGTTTAGGAATGGAGGCTGTGGACAGCAAAGTGATTGCATGAAACAGGGCTCTAGAGAAGTCTGTATCTTGCATTTGGTCCAAGGAAAATCTGAACACTAGACCATTTTTGTTTAAAGGTAACTGTCTAGCTAATAATATTATTAGCAGAATTCTAGTGTCTATAAACACAGAAATGGGTAAAACAAAAAATACCACAAGTTATTAATTTCAATGAAATAGCTTTAGACTAAGATATAATTGAAACTTAGATTGATGTTTGACTTCTTATTTGCACTTACAGCAATTATTTTTTTCTGACTATGCATAAAACATGTTCAATCAAGACTGTGCATTATGAGTAGTTATTACATTTATAGAAATTGATGGAGATAGATTAATTCCAAATTCATTCCTTAATTTTTTAACAATTCATTATCCTGAAGTTATGTCCCTAATATGTTCTGAGTATGTTACAAACTGACATAATGATAGTACTTATATTTCATAAAGTTTGCCTTAACTTGCTTAGGAGAGATCCAGAAATAGTCCCACAAAATGAATTATGTCCACATGAAGAAGAAGAACTAGAAGTTTTAATTACATCTAAATGTCTAGCATGACTAGGTATTTCATCTGACTGATGGCTAAAATACAATCCAATACTGAACAAGTTTAGTTTGATTCTTTTGTAAAACAAATTATAAATATCAGGAAGGATAGCAGGCAGTGTTCCTCAGATGAATTACTCTGTGAGGGACCCAACAGTGAAATTAAGTCTATTTTCACTGCTGTTAATCAAAAGTACGTTTTACATATATGCAAATGATAGTATTTCCAAGGCAGTATATAACCAGGTTCCTGTAATGGCGCAACATAGAAGCTACTTAAGAGAAGGCATGAATAAATTCCACGAAAAAAATTCTGCCCAAAGAGAAATCTTTCTCCTAAACATCTTCCAGCAGTTGGACTGAGTGGCAAGCATTAGATTTTCATTTCTTATCTTACCTACCTGTTCATGTTCTCCTCAGCATTATAGAGGGGTAATTCTATTTAAAAATTGTTTAGTTCTACACTTTCTGCAGGTTTTTTTGGTAGTGTCTTCTGCAGATATATATTATTACTTAAAAAAAAATAAATCTGAAATATATTCCAATAGCACACATGGAAAAATCTGCTTTACCTTGCCAGTATATCTCAAAGTATAACCAAATACCAGTTGGTGAACTAAGTAGATCAGGTGTAACTGGGCAGTAATGCAGTCCAAAAGCCTCTGGAAAGTCCCAGTCCATTCCTATTATGATGGTCTACCTGACAAGGGAACAGCCCCACTGTCTAAAATATAATATGGAGCATACATTTTAAAGAAGGGATCATTTTGCTTCCGTCATCCCTAAAGGGCATGCATCCCTGGCCAGTCTCTTGCTCCCTATCTCCACACATTAGCTGCAGACAGCTGGCGGACCAGAGCTCAGACTAACCATAGGCTGCATCTGCCATACCAAGAAAGAAGCAGCAGTGCTGTAAAATTGCATGGTACTGCCTATGCAAGCTCCTGGGCAGAGATTGCAGCGTTCATGGTGTAGGAACTTGGTATAGATGCTGGGTCAGACAGAACTGTGTATTATCTACCCTTTTTCTTTTTTTAATCTGCAAACTCCTTTAAAAGTTCATTTTAGATTCTTTGTGTTTGACATTTTTTTTTCATTAAGCTGTATGTGTAGGAGATCCAGATACCTTCAACTCTCCAATATCTTAAAAGAAGCTGAACAATCACTGTTTCAAAATTACTTCTAACTCTTAGTTTATGAACAGTCTCATATAATTCCTGATCATTATTGGCTGACTGTAGTGGTCACTGTGGTCTTCTCCTGATACTGTCAGTATGTTGGTCTCATTCTACACGTCACTTAGTCCAGACAAATAGTGAAAAATTCTTTAAAAA